TTGAAAATGGGTATTTAGACATGACTGAAAAAAATAATCAGTTGACCATTACCATGCATAAAGTACAGTGATCCCTCGGTTAACGAACAAAAATTCGGTTAACTAAATTCTTACGAAATCATGTCAACATGTTTTCACTTGCTCACCAGCTGGAATATTAGTCCGCCAATACAGTAATCGGCTCTAGGGCTTAAATTCGTTCCCATTTAAGTAAATATCAAGAAGGTTGTACTATTCAATAATTTTCCAAGTTTTATATAAAATTTTTTAGTCATTTTAACACTTATTTAACATAATTGCAGTACAGGAAACTACTTTTTGGTGCGCCAATCAGCCACTTGACTCACCCACAAAGGCGTCAGTTTGTATCTCTGGTCAGTGGAGGTAACATCTTGCTTGCTCCTCTCTTGAACATAAACTATTTTTAGGTTTTTACAGTACAATTATTGGTCATTCTGAAATTTATTTTACATATTGTCAATATATAGTGCAGTGCAGTGTTAATTTAAAGAAAATAATCTTGAATTACACCTAGTGAACTTAAAATTTTATGGGTGAAATGACGGCATGAAGCATGGGGTGATTTCTCTTCCACCCCCACTTCCTTCTCTTCTCCCTTCTCCTCCACCCCCACTTTTAATTCCCATCACCATCATCATCAACCAGGAGCCTTCTACATGCACACCTCAAAGTAAGTGTACTTTACTGCATTTATTTTTACTTTGTATGTAATTTTCGGTGAGCTGGAACCAATTACCCAAAATCCCATTGAAACAATGGTTTCGGTTAACGAAATTTTCGGTTAACGAACGACCTTCTGGAACGAATTGTGTTCGTTAACCAAAGGACCACTGTAGTGTAATGAGTTACTGTCTGTGTTTTGAAGTGTTATTACTGTACAATGTAAGGAACATACCAAAGATCAATTCTACCAGACTATTCTGTACAATATCGAAGGGGTAAAGCATTTAAACACTACTCAAAGACTCTACAACCAATTCTCCAAAAGCAAAGTAAAATTTCCACCCCTTTTAACCCTTAGGCCTCGGGTGTCGTTCCAGAACGTCGGCCTATTTTCCCGCCATTTTTGGGGAGCTGATGTTTTTCTGATTTATCCCAACAGGGGGGGTACTGCCAGCAGCACCCTGACCCGGAGCTTAAGCCACCAATACAGTAAGTGTATCTATTCTTTAAAGAGAAAGTAGTGTTCTGTATGGGAGGAGGTCTTCAACAGGGAGGAGCTCTTATTCCCAGGTATTTCCTCCACATCAGCTTGGCCAAGTATCCAGCAGCACTCATAAGTTACACATCACACACAGAAACACCTTCAGCCAACCAGTGCTACATATTCCAATTCAACAAGCTTCCTTACAAATGGAAAGCACACCTTCCTTAGGAAATTAAAATTTCCCCAACTTCATTTGTCCTTATTAATGGCATAATAAGTGCTCTTCTTCGCACGCACGCACACAATACACAGCAATTTCGATTCAGTTGACATTTCTGAGGTACTACCGCCTGGGAAGATATTGGAAGCATAATGTATTGTCTAATGGTAGACTGCTGCCATATGGCATCACGAAAATTATGACCAAGTCCCAGGTTGCTGATCTGTCTTTCTGCATCATTTACACACAATTGCAGGGTCTCAATTGTCTCTCTTACTACTGACAACACAACATACATACTGAATATCATTTCCCACTCTTGATTTATTTTTTATATTTTTTTTATTTATGGTTATCATTATTTAATTTTTATTATAATTTTTTTTAATTTTTACTAATTATTATTGCTGTTATTATTATTATTATTATTATTATTATTATTATTATTATTATGTTTTCGCCCCCCCAGGCCGTGATGTGGGTCAGTGACCTGTGCCCGGGTGGGCTAATCCCCGTGTGTATATACAGTCATGAGCCGGTTAACGTCCTAGATACGTTCTTGGAAACGTGATGTTAACCGAAATGGACGCTGTCCTAAATTACATAAATCTATCGGATTTATTCTAATGGGGGTTCCAGGCACCCAACCCCAAGTTTCCCATTTTACAACCATTTAGACCCACTAAATATATATATATATATAATGTTATGGTAAATATCATAAACACACATAGGCATGGCTAGGTTTATTACAAAGTGATGAAAAGGATAATGTAAAGTGGGTAGTCCACAAAACATGTAGCTGTCTCTCTTTATTTGAGTGCCCCATCAAAGAAATCCGTTTTCTCTCACTTCAGGACGCCTGAGTCGTCCGTTTTCTCTTAATCTTAGAGTGCAGTACACCAGTGACTTATTTATTCCTTAGTAATGACACAGAATTTGAAATTGCAACCCCAATTGCAACTGGAGTTGCAATTGTTGAGGCAACTAGATATGTCTGATTACAGCAAATGTGTTATTGTCAATTTGTGGGTGAAAGATTTTATCCTCAATAGATGTAGGTTAACATTACACCTGCAGGCAAATGTTTAAAAAAAGCCTAATCAAGGAAGCATATTCCTTTAACACATAATACAGTATCTGACCAGTATGGGGAGGATCATCGTGTCTCCTTCAGGGGGTCATGGTGTGGTGGTCCAGCAGGCGTCACGGATATTTTTTTGGGGGGGGGAAGGGGGGGGTGGGGGGCCACGGATGTATATGCGAGCGGACGTTGTTCGGTCGGACATTAACCGGCGCATGACTGTATATACAGTTGGCCCTTAACATACGCGGGGGTTAGGTAACAGAGATACCCGTGAATGTTAAAAATCCGTGTACTTTTGCTGCCCCCTAACCCCCAACCCAACCCCCCAAAAATCCTGGCCCCCCATGTCCTTATTTACAGTATACAGTCATACACGTTAACGTCCTAGATACGTTCTTGGAAACGTGACGTTAACCGAAATGGACGTTGTCCGATCATCACAAATTTTTTATTTATACTTATGTGTATGTGGAATACTATATACGTACATATACACTTTTACTGTTAAATCACTACTGTAATGTGATACAGGTGATTAATTTTTGTCTCTTGTGCAAAATACATGACGTTTATATTAAAATTATTCACTGTTTTACAAGGATTCCAGCAACGCCAAGCAGATGGGGGAGAGGATGGGAGCCAGCGAGGGGGCGTCGGGGGAGGGGAGGTAGTACGTTTGACAGTTGGCACAGGCCCAGGTCTAACGCGTGTATACAGGTAGTCCCCGACTTACGACTGCTTGGACTTACGACCGTCGGGACTTACGACCGCCGCAGTTGTGACCATTTTTTTTTTTCATTTTTTTTTCTTCAAATGACACGCATTTTCTATACCGAAACGTTTCCAGTTAATGTAGTCTCCATGTATAATTAGAAAATTATGGGGCCCCATGTGCATTCAGCTGACTACATTAAAGGTAAGTGCTCAGTCACACTGTATCCATTCCTCATTATTTATTACTTTCACTGTACTGTATCCATTCCTCATTATTTATTACTTTTACTGTACTGTATTTCATTGTAGATTTTTTATTTAAAAAAAAAATTATTTTTTTATATTTTTTATCTATGTCGGACTTACGACCATTCGGACTTACGACCTGGATTTGGGTCCCTAACCCTGTCGTAAGTCGGGGTGTAGCTGTGTGTGTGTATGTATGTATGTATGTATGTATGTATGTATGTATGTATATATATATATATATATATATATATATATATATATATATATATATATATATATATATATATATATATATATATATATATATATATATATACAGTCATGCGCCGGTTAACGTCCGACCGAACAACATCCGATCGCATATACGTCCGTATGGTATGGTGTGTGCATGTAAATGGATGAAAATAAATGAAGAAATCTATGTAAATCTACCTAAAAATACAGTTGAAAAACTTTTTTTTATAAAATGTACTACAGTACTGTACACTAGTGTACAAATTTTTTTATCTCTTGAGCAAAATATATGACGTTTATATTCAAATTATTGGCTGTCTTGCAAGGATTCCAGCAATGCAAATTATAATCTCCTAACTTTAGTCTGAAATATTATATAAGATAAAAAGCCTAAAAGCCTGGCTGGGGGGCGGGGGGGGGACTGACGGATACAGCCACGCCACCCAGCGAGGGGTTGGGGGGGTGGGGGGGTTAAGGTGATAAGTTTGAGGTGAAGGTCTCTGTGTGTTTATTTAACAGTCCTACTAAGCTTCTCTCATTTTAAAATGCCAGTGATATGACCTAGGAGAATATAATTAACATTGCTGGGATTCTTGGAAGATACTGATTTATTTGAATATAAACACGTTGTAATTCACACTAGACATAACAATTTTAGTACCGTAATCAAATTAGTACATGTGCACTCCAGCTTTGCACTAAGGTCATTTATTTCTTTTACGTTTCTTTTAGTATGGTGTGTGCATGTAAATGGATGAAAATAAATTAAATTTATGTAAGTCTACCCAAAAATACAATTGAAAAACTTTTTATAAAATGTACCGTATATCTCGGCCTATAAGGCGTCGGGGTGCATAAGACGGCCCCCCAAATTTCCATTTAAAAAGTAGTTTTTGAGCTCTATTCGCTGTATAAGACCAGTACCCCAAATGTGACACTTACCCACTGACTCAGTAGTCCTCTACCAACCATCCTTGGTTTTTTAAAATAAGGCCAATTCACTTCAAGTAATGTCATCAAATGTTACCCGCTGGTGTAGTGTAAACACTAGTGACATCACTGAAGCGTCTACTATTTACCGGTAACTGGAACTAAT